TGCAGTAAACAACAGGAGAGCCCAGCGACTTAGCCATTAAATCAACACTGGTCCCTTGATTTCCTTTTGAATCCTTTCCAGTATTTTTACTTTTGTTTTTATTTATTTATTTTTAAAATTTGCTAGAAAGTGCGTGTGCTCATCAGATAGAGAGAAGACAGAGGGGGAGAGGAAAGGGAGAAAGCACCCCTCAAAGGGAAATCCCTTCTCCACATTTCTTCACCCTGTCAGGATCCTGGGCACACATGCATGTGTGCTCAGCATGTCCCTCAAGTTACCAGGACGGGATTCGAACCACAGGATCAGTTTTGTGGGATCCAATTTTTTATGCACAACACTTAACTGCGGTGCTGTTGTAAGAGGGCTTACTTTAGCCAGAATGACTCCATCTTGTTAATCAAAACTGTATTTCTGGGAACCAGCAGTTAGCGTAATGGCTATGTTGCTTGACTCCCATGTAGTCAACCGCGGTTCGCGTCCCAGACCCGGTGGCTTAAAACTCACGCCGGGCGCGTGTGCGTGCGTGCCCAAGATCCCGAGAGGAGAATGAAGGAGAAGGGATTGCGGCGTGACCATCCCCCCTGGGGGGTGATTTCTCGCTTTCTGTCTCTATGTCTCTCTCTGTCTGTCTGGCGAGTGCACGCGCCCTATAGCGAAAATCTCTCAAAAAAAAAACAAAACAAAACTGTATTTCTCTCAGTCTGATGCACTTTGAGATTTCTCATAGGAACTCCAAAGAGACAGCCATCAGCCTGGAGCTTGAAGCAATGAGGGACATTCTGCCCCAGCTAAACAGAAACTCCTGTCTCAAAATTGAAGTGCTTGATTGTACCCTTCTAGCTAAAAACTAACCTGATCTATGCTTTTCCATAGACAGTCGTTAGCCCATAGCATCCCCCTCCCCCTATAAAAGCATCTGAAACTTGGCTGACCAATCAAAGACATCTTTTTTTTTTTTTGAGAGAGAGATTTTCGCTATAGGACGCGTGCGCTAGCCAGACAGACAGAGAGACAGAGAGACAGAAAGCGAGAAATCACCCCCCAGGGGGGATGGTCATGCTGCAATCCCTTCTCCTCCATTCTCCTCTCGGGATCTTGGGCACGCACGCACACACGCCCGGTGTGAGTTTTAAGCCACCGGGTCCAAGACGTGAACTGCGGTTGACTACGTGGGAGTCCAGCGACATAGCCATTACGCTAACTGCTGGTTCCCAATCAAAGATATCTTTACATGTCTTCTTGGTGTGGACACACCATGATAAATTCTCCTTTCTTCTCTCATCAACAATTTTGCTTCTCTGTGTCTTCTGAGAAAGCAAGGGTTGGCCTTCTTTGGGTCCCTGAGTTGGGGCATAGGGACTCTTATTAGGCTACACTTTGAGGCAAGCCTGAATAGAATTTCATCACAGAAACAAAGTGAAGTGGGCTGGCCCTATAGCTTAGTGGTTAAGAGAAGCTGGATCCCACATTACCAAGCAAGCAGTCTGAATTCCAGAACAGCAGCTTGAAAAATATGCCCAGTACCTCTGCATGTGTCCCCAAATCCTGGCAGGATGGAGACCCAGAACAGGGATTGTAGCATGACCATGCCACACTGGGAGGTGCTTTCTCCTCCCTCTTCCTCTCTCTCTCTCCCTGGCAAGGGCATGCTCTGGTTATAATAAATGACAATAGATAGGGCTAGTCAGTGGTAGATGGTTAAGGCAGCTGAATCCCACATGGCCAACTTCATGGCTCTACTCCTGGACTGCGTGGTTTGAAAAATACACATGTGTGCATGCTTGCCCAATATCTCAAAAGGAGGGAGACATGGAGGAGGGGTGATGGCATAACCATGCCCCATGGGATGTGCTCTCTCGCTTTTTTTCTCTTTCTCTTTCCAGTGAGTACATACGTCCTATGGTAAACTAAAAAATATATATAAAAAAAATACAATTTTTTAAGAAAGAAAGAAAAGTCAACTGATTAGGTAAATTATTCCTTAACTTCTCCCAATACTGCTCAATCCTACAGAGGTAACCTTAGTTATCTTTCAGTTGAGGATAAATCCATCTATGTATTTGTATATGTTTTATTTCATTTTACATAGATAAAGACAGAGAAAGACAGAGAGAAAGAAAGCAAGAAATCACCCCCCGGGGGGATGGACACGCCGCAATCCCTTCTCCTCCATTCTCCTCTCAGGATCTTGGGCACGTGCACACATGTGCCCAGCGTGAGTTTAAGCCACCAGGTCCAGGACTCGAATTGCAGTCAGCTACATGGGAGTCCAGCGATATAGCCATTACACCAACTGCTGGTCCCATCTTTTTTTTTTTTTTTAAGAGATATTTTTGTTATTGGGTGTATATGTTTGCCAGAGACACAGAGAGTGACAGAGAGAGAGAAAATGAGAAATCACCCTCTTCGGGGATGCAATTTCTTCTCCTTTAGTCTCCTCTCAAGATTTTGGGCATGCATGCACATGTGCCTGGCATGAGTTTTAATCCACCAGGTCTGGGACGGGAACCATGGTTGACCACGTGAGAGTCCAGTGCCACAACCACTATGCCACCTACTGGCCCCTCAGCAACATTTCTTGGTGCTCTTTGGTGTGTGCACATAGATTCACCTCATTCTTTTCTCTCACTGCCTATTTCCATAACCATTCCTCTACGGCAGGCCTTTTGGCCATGTATGATTGATATTTTTCCACTGTTACTAATAATGCTATAGCGAGCAGCCTTGCACCCAGCACCTTGTTCATTTGTGTAAGCATTTTTCTGAACTAGGATAAAAAGGAGTGTGTTTGCTGAGCAACCGAATGTACATCTGAAATTTTAGTAGGTACTGTCAAGTTGTCCTCCAAAAAGGAAGTACCGACTTACATCCCACCCACCCCTTTCCATATGCTAGATCTTATTTTAATTGTAAGTAAGTGCATTCAGAAGTACACCTCTTTTGGCAATGACACAAAAGCAGAAAAAGAAAAGAAAAGGAAAACACTTAAAATTTTATTCTACTGGGCTGGCTCTCTAAAGTAGCAGTTAATTCCAGTGCATGAAGAGCTGCATACCACACGGCCGACCATAGTTTGAATCTTGGTCCTAGTGGTTTGAAGAACATGCAGGTGTGTGTGTGTGCATGCCCAAAATCTTATAGAATGGAGAGGTAGAAGAAAAAGAATTGGGGTGTGACCATACCCATTGGGGGTGCAGGGAGTGCTTTCTCTCTCTTTGGTAAGTGCATGTGCCTTCTGACAATTAAATGTATATATGGATGTATAATAATATCCTTCTATTTATACAGAGAGTCAATTTGAGGCCTGGATCAAATCACTGATCAATTGTAATCAAATTAATGAGAATGCAATGACATCATTGTGTCTCACTGGGGGCACCAGAGTCTAACGTGTTGGCAACAGAATATGGCTGATGTTACCTGAGGACAGCTGTCCCTAGGAGGTGCCCTAGAGGAGAGGGATGTACCTGTTCTCTCTAATCCAGTCTTTCCCCCATGACTGGCACCAACCTCTGGTTCCTTGGTCAAACATCAGATAAAGTTGCTTCCCAAAGGAGAGGTCAGAGAAAGCAGGGATCCCCCTCCCAAGGGGAGATGGTCACACTGCAATCCCTTCTCCATTTTCCTCTTGGGAGTTTGAGCACACATCTACACACACCCAATATGAGTTTTAAGCAGCGGGTCTCGGACTCCAACCGTTGTCAACTACGTGGGAGTCCAGCGACATAACCCTTACACCATCTGCTTGAGCTCAACTACTTTTTTTTTAATTGAAAACAACGGTGAGCACATGAACCACTACTCTTGTGACTTCTGTTACAAATCCTAACGAAATCTGTGAAAGTGAGGTAAGGTAAATGAGTCAATAGTACAAAGGGCACAGAACAGTCTCTAGGACGTCTAATAAGTATTAGGTATTGTTACAATCATCATTTAGGAAGGAGGAAATGGACCCAGGTTGGGAGATGTGGGTGCCTAAACGATTTCACTGAAGGCTTTCACCTGATGTCCGTGAGTTCCTGAAAAGTCCTGAAAGTTCCACGCTGGTTAATAAACTCATTTGGTGTGGAAGCTTATGTCATTTTCCATCTCCGCGCCTCACACTTTTCAGCTATGAGTTTGGACTCTAAATTCTGATAAACCTGCCCTTTCCTGTCTGCCTAAAGAGTCTCCTTTACGCTTTCCTTAACGCCTACTTTACACAAAAACTACATTTCCCATGAGGCCCCACAGCCGTCAACGTCGCGCACCTCTTTGTCGTCGCTCCGCGCGCTTTATACTCACTTCCGCCCACGAGCCACTTCCTTTCCTTTCGGCGGCGCGCAGCGGCAAGATGGCGGTGCAAATTTCCAAGAAGAGGAAGGTGAGTTTCTGGGGTCTGGGTCCAAGAAACTGCGGCGCCAGCGGGTCCAGGCCTTCGCCATGTGTCACCTTGAGACCCTCAGTTCCGTGCCCTGCCCCGGGAGGGTGTAGATCACCCGGCGTTCCCGCGGGTCGCGGATGGCGGTGGATTGAGTGCGAGGCCCAAAGCCGGCAAGCGCAGGGTGGCGGGGAAGGCAGAGCGATCTCAGCCGGCTCTGGGTGGAGTACGGACGTGAGCACGGGGCACCGCACTTGTCCTGGAGAAGGTGCTGGCAGCACTTCCTGGTCAGCAAAACTAGTAAACGTGTAGCGTTTTGAGGGCGAGGGTCATTCTCGGTTCTTACCCCACGGCGTTGGGAAACAGCCGTGCATCTTTGTCTTGTTTCTCCGAGTGTCGGGGTGCAGCCCTCTGACCCAGAGGACCTCGTTTGAAAGTCTCCAGACAACGGCTTGCTCCATCTGAGGACCTTGGGTTGGGAGCGTTTTCGGGTTTAACTTCTTGTTGATCACCTGGGAGAGAACTGTGAAAATGATTAGATTTAGAAATATGTGGTTTGCCGTTACGTATACACGGACGTCGCTGTTAAAACTCAACCCATAACGCTCTAGTGAGTTAGGATCTGCTTGCTGTGAGACCACAAGGATGGGGATTCTCTGGATTTGCAAGCCGGGACTGTCTGTAAATGACTGGCTTTCTAAAAACCCTTCAGTGAAGAGATGATGACGAGTCTGAATGGGGATGTTCTTTGTCCAGGCGGCCTTACTCTGGCTGCGTTCTGTAGCACAGTTTAAAGGGCCCTGGGCAAAGTCATTCCTAAAGATGACCAAGAGGCATTTGTCTGAGAAGGGTTGCTACCTTCCTGTGGGTCTTGGCTAGAGATGTTGAGACTTAATGAGGGATGCATTGGCTGATAACCTGGACAGAGGAGGTGGAGGCTGCAGCTGTGACCTTAATGTTGAACTTTGTTTTCTTGGTCAGTTTGTTGCTGATGGCATCTTCAAAGCTGAACTGAATGAGTTCCTCACTCGGGAGCTGGCTGAAGATGGCTACTCTGGAGTTGAGGTTCGAGTTACTCCAACCAGGACAGAAATCATTATCTTAGCCACCAGGTAAAAACTCACTTGACTAGCCATCTATCACCTATAATTGCCATGTACCTAAAGGCGATTTATTCTTAAGGAAACAGCCAGTGAATCTGGCCCTAGTGAACGTAATTGTTAAAGCTGCATTTTAAAAATTGAACTTTAGTGGGACCAGCAGATGGCGTAATTATTTCATCTCTGGACTCAGGTAGTGAGGTAGTCGACCGAGGTTTGAGTCCTGGACCTAGTGGCTTAAAACTCAGGCCAGGTGCTTGTTGTGTGTACATGCCCAAAATGCCAAGAGAAGAGTGGGAAAAGGATTACTGCATGGCCATCCTCCCTGGGAGGTGATTTCTCACTTTCTCTCTTCGGCGAATGCACGTGCCCTGTATGTAGCAAAAATTTCTCTCTAAAAAAATTGAACTTTAGTTTTTGTCATCTACAATATCTACCTGCTTTGTGACAGATCAGTGAGGTTTGCTAACCACACACATCTACTGGATTTAAAATTTTGTCTGGAATTCTGAGAGTCATGAATGGATCACTTTTTTCCTACCAGGACACAGAATGTTCTTGGCGAGAAGGGCCGGCGGATCCGAGAATTGACTGCTGTTGTTCAGAAGAGGTTTGGCTTCCCTGAGGGAAGCGTAGAGGTGAGTGGCCCTGCGTTATGCCAGAGATGGTTGTGGACTTGGAAATGGATTTTTATTACAGTGCTTACAAAGACTCAATGTCACTTTAGAGACTTTATATATGCTCAGTGAGTGTTACAAACGGATTGGGGTTTTCATCTCTTAAGCAGAGTAGGCTTAATTTTACAGGCCATAGTCTGTTAATTTCTGGCGGCTACAGGATTTTATATCCAACTTGGCTATGGAATTGATAGCTGGGGTACCCTGTTGGTCTCACTGGTATGGCTGTAGGAGAAGCCCCCAGAGTGAGAGGCAGTGAGGAATGCTTACCTGAGAGAGGTACCATGTTACACGTGTATGATGTGTTGAAAATGTCGCTTTTATGTTTTCATCAGAATCAGTAGTGAAGGTAACCCGATGTGTCTTGTTTTTATAGCTTTATGCCGAGAAGGTGGCCACCAGAGGTCTGTGTGCCATTGCCCAGGCAGAGTCTCTGCGTTACAAACTCCTTGGAGGGCTCGCTGTGCGGAGGTGAGTGTCCTGGGTTTCCATGGTTGTACTCTGCATGGATTGGAATGCATGCCTCCTGTTTGGTTGATTTAGCAGATGAATTCTTGTTGAGTGGCAGGTCTAATCTCTGAGGGTCATAACAAGATACTGCTAACCCTTGCCCCTATTGAACTGGCAGCTGAGACGGTACTAACAAAGAAGCAAGCGCCTTCACGGGTGGTATCTTGGGAGTGAACACACTGAACTGTCCAGGGAGGGGACCGGCTCATGGGTGGTCTTGAGTTTGTATTTTTAATGCCTGAGTGTATGTACTTGCACACAATAGAGTAGGGGGAGTAGGAGGAGCTTCCTACCACAGGGCCTGGTCACGCTGCAGTCGTTTTTCCTCCTGTTCTTTATTCTGCCAGCATACTGGGCACACAGATGCTTACTGGGCATGGTTTTCAAGTTGCCAGGACCAGGAGTTGAACCCTGGTTAGCCATGTGGGATCTGGCTTCCTGTGTGCAGAAGCTAACCAATGCACTATGAGACCTGTGGGAGGTGGGCAGTCTGTTTAGTGGGTGTGTAATGTATTTTCCAGGGGTCTTCAAAAAGTTTACAGAGGGGCCAGCAGGTGGCATAGTGCTTAGGTCGCTGGACTCCCACATGGCTGGCTGGGGTTCAAGTCCCAGACCCAGTGGCTTGAAAATCATGCTGGACACATGCGCGTAGGGGCCCAGGATCCTGGGAGGAGAACGGAGAAGGGATTGTGGCACGGTCCTCTTCCTACTTTCCCTCTCACTGTCTCTTTGGCAAGTGCACGCACCCTAAGGCAAGAACCTAAAAAAGGAAAAAAGTTTACAGAAAAAGCTTGTTATGAAAAAAAAAAAAACCTGCATGAATTTCAGCATGGGGTATTTTTTTTTTTTTACACCACAGTAAATGTTGGTTCTACTGTTCCCGTGAACTCTCTTGAGCACTACCCATATAGGTAGTAGAAATGCTTTAGCACTTGGGGGGATACCAGAAATTCAGAGTAACAAACTAGAAAGTATTCAGATTCATTGTCCTCAGTTGGGGTGAGGAAGGGTGGAAAGCCAGAGCTGCTGTGCCCCAGCCAGGCCCCACGGCCTAACAGGTATGTCTGCAGGGACTTCTTTTGGCAGAATATGAGCCCCTGCTTTCTCTTCGGCACTAGAAAGACAGGAGGAAGCCCAAATCTCTGTAAGTTTTACAGCATGTTACGTTGTCCCTGGAGCTGGGCCTACTGGTAAGACTTCAGTAGGAACTTGGTTTTGCATTTGTAAGGATTAGACTGCTTTGCCTAGGTGTTTAGAATTAAGTTCAGGTTTGAGCTTTCCTAATCCAAAACTTCAAAATCCAAAATCTTGATAGACTAGGACTAAAACACTTTCGATCCCAAGCATTTTGGGTGAGGGGTGCTCAAGTTGTACCTCCACTCCTTAGTTGTGACGGTTAGTGGGGATGATGTGAAAGGGCCTGGATATGGTTAGCTGTCCAGTTAGTGTCTCCTGCTAGTGTAGGCTGATAAATGAATTGAGGGTGAGTCATAATAGTTCAAAGCTTAACTATCAATTTTATAGACCTAAACGTTTTTTCTAGCACTTTTAATGTCAGAGTAACTGGCAGCTTAAAATGAGTGAGTTGGTTTCCTAGTGAATCATGAATTCTGGGGTTTGAAGAGTATTTTCAAGCGTAATGGGACCACTTGAGTGGCTAGGGTACTTGGGGAGGTTAAAAGTGTGATTCTCAACTTTGGTTGTACTCTGGGGAATACAACATGGGGAGCATTTTTAAATATTTGCTTGGCTTTGGCCAGCCCAGATTGCTGATTTAATTGGCCTGGAGTAGAGCCTATGCATTGCTCTCTATCTCGGACTAATTCTGATATACCGTTAGGGTTGGAGAGAGCACTTGGTCCGGGGAGCTTGACTCTTGAGTCTCCAGAAGAAAGGTAGCCACAGTTAGGTGTGATAGGAGTGGAAGACAATCACTATTTCTTGGATCAGATTCTGGTCCCATTTATTCTCCATTAAAGGAACATTGAAAACAGCCAGTGCAGCTTAAGTCTTGTTTTTAAATTTGGTGGGATATGTAGGTAAATTCTGTCCTTAGTAATAACCCGTCGACCTCCTGTTCTTCCAAAGGGCCTGCTACGGTGTGCTGCGGTTCATCATGGAGAGTGGGGCCAAGGGCTGCGAGGTTGTGGTGTCCGGGAAGCTCCGTGGACAGAGGGCGAAGTCCATGAAATTTGTGGATGGCCTGATGATTCACAGTGGGGACCCTGTCAACTACTACGTTGACACCGCCGTGCGCCACGTGCTGCTCAGACAGGGTGAGCGCCTGAGAGTACTCAGGGCAGAGGGCATTTGTGGTGGGTAGACGTGATTTTCCACAGATGGCTCATCTTTGTTGGGGTGAGTTCATCTGCAAGTCGCCGGGCTTGTTTGTACTCTGAAGGTTACTGGTTCTCTGCACTGAACTGTGAGAACTGGGCTGCTCAGATTGTCACACTGAGAGCTAGCTTGTCCTTGTCTAGCCATCTGTATACCCTTCGGTGATGACACGATGACGAGTCAGAAAGGTCACGTCCTGCTCTTGGTCCTTGTCAGTGCCACGTTCTGTGGTGCTGTGCCAAGGTTCCATTTGCAAAAGTGTCCTGTCCATTGATTGATTTAGAGGCATTTGTCTGAGAAGGGACTGGGCCGGGGTGCTTGAGTACGCTGTTCTTCTGTCCTGCTGTGAGGTGGGGCAGGGAAACCCCAGCTAGTTCCTAACTGTGCTGTCCTCTAGGCGTCCTGGGCATCAAAGTGAAGATCATGCTGCCCTGGGACCCAAGTGGTAAGATTGGCCCTAAGAAGCCCCTGCCTGATCACGTGAGCATCGTGGAACCCAAAGATGAGATACTGCCCACCACCCCCATCTCAGAACAGAAGGGTGGGAAGCCAGAGCCGCCTGCCATGCCCCAGCCGGTCCCCACGGCATAACAGGTATGTCTGCAGGGACCGCCTGGGCAGAATAGAGGCCTGCTGCTTTCTCTCTTGGTTAATTCAATATTTGTATTCTCCACTGTGGTAAATAGTTGGTGAATGAAAGCTGGATCACATTTACTGTATATGAGGGTACATGTTGAAATCTTGGACTCTTTTTTGCTATAGGGTGTGTGCACTTGCCAGAAAGAGACAGACAGGGAGAAATCACTCCAGGCGGGGTGGCCAGGCTGCAATCCCTTCTCCATTCTCCTCTCAGGATCTTGGGCATGCATGCCCATGCAACCGGCATGAGTCCAAGCCACTGGGTCCGGGACTCGAACCATGGTTGGCCACATGGGAGTCCAGCGACATAGCCGCTATGCTAACTGCTGGTCCCGAAATCTGGGACTCATTTAAGCTATGATTCCCCTGGCGAGGGTGTTTACCTTTGCTCTCTTAAGAATTTACCGCTCTTGAAAATAGTTTTCCTTTGCTGTCTTCTCTTAGTTATGTAAGATTTTCAGGGCACTCCTGCTAGTAATTAGCTGCCCCTTAGCCAGCCCCTTAAATTAGTGGCACCAAGCCTCCTATATCTGACATGTGGGCTTGTTTCTCTGTTGTGTTTCTAGGTGTTCTGTATTCATCTTCCT